CAAAATAAGAATGAATAAGAATCAATCAAAGAGAGGTTTTATGGTTTACTTTTCTCTAAATAAGAGTGTCCTTGAAATCAAGAAATTTCTTACCTTTTAAGGGTTTAGCAAGGAGTGGCCCATCTCCATACAGAGGAGTCCCCTCCCTCCCTGAAGTTTTATTATACACCTTAAAATCCTAAACTGTGATCAGCTATTTGTCTTATCATAGATGGGACTTCTATCCAATTATTTGGGTTATTTGCTGTGACCGAAAACACTGTGTGTTTCTTTCTTTGCTATCAAGTGTAACATGTTTTCATCTGTGGCTCTGAACGGTTATGATGCTCAGTTTGTCAAGTTTTAGTAATAATGATAATAACTTTATCTGTATAGCACTTTTAACAAAACAGATGTTTACAAAGTGCTTTGACATGTAGTCGTAGAGCAAATGGAAAAAGACAGATAAAAACAAAAAGCTCAGTGAAAAATTCATGAACATAGCCTGTCAGAGCACAAAGTCAGGAGCTACAGTCAGTAAGATGGAGAGAAAAGCCACCAAAACTCTGGCTATTGTTTTGGGAGTTTTCCTCTTATGTTGGACTCCGTTCTCTCTCTGCATCACCTTTCCTTCTTTAGGCAACGCAGCTCCAGTTCCTGTTATTAAGACCCTGAACTGGCTGACACTTTCAAACTCTATGCTGAATCCGTTCATATATGCTTTCTTTTACAGCTGGTTCAGGTCGGCTTTCAGGATGATCGTTTCTGGGAAGATATTGAGAGGGGATTTAATTAAGACAAAATTACAAAACTAGGCTGAATGTTTCTGTATGAAAATTTAGTAAAACACTGTTTGTGATCTGAATGAGTAAATCAACACACTTCACCTGAGATCAGAACTGAAAAAGAAATATCTGTCGATGTTTTTATACACTGCAAAAACAGGAATTTTTTGTGGTTTTGTCCTCTCTTCAGAAGAGAGTCTATTTTGCAAAATTAAATTCACATTCATCTGATAAGTCCAGAAAATATGCTGAATTGCCTGTACTGATTAAAAAATAATAATATCTGGTAAATGTGGCAAAAAACATACTAAGAATAAGACAGAAACACTAACTGAGATTAGATTTTCTTTTACAGAATAGTAAAGATTTTGAGCTCAACTCCCCCTTTTAATTCCAGGAATCAAAAGTTTACATTGAGAGAGTTAAAATGTATCGGTAGATGGCTTCAGGAAGAGACTTGAGGTGAAGTCTGTGGTAATGGCGCTTTAATGTTCGCGCAGGTAGAGGCAGCTATATTTCGCCTAAAGAGACATAGGTTGGCTTGGTATCTTTTTTCCATATGGTTGGAGGGAGAGGCTGCTAGTGTCTAGTTACTGGTGCACTGCAGGATGTGGCTCAAGGTTGTTAGCAGAGAGGGAAGGTTGAGTCAATGTGCTTGTCGAGGTTGCAGTTTGAGACAGTGGCTGCTGATGTGTGGCAGAGACTGCAATCATAGGTGATGGCTGCTGATGTTAAAAAGAGGTTTGGGTTTAAGACATTGGCAGCCCATAAACAGGTGGAGGCACATGAATTTAATTGATTGGAGATATTTACCTCTGAGCAGGAGGAGGAGGGGTCGGAGGCTGATGGTGGAGGTTGCAGGTGGAACGAGCCATCTTCATTTTTTTACAAGAAGAGGCAGAGGCAGATGTTATTATTTAGAGGCTGGAGTTGGAAGTTGGCAAATGTGCAGCGCTAAGTTGGTAAAAGCTGCTGGCACGTAATGGAGGACAGGATGGAAGTAGGTTTGATACTTTGTCATTTCAGTCTGGTCAGAGATGGTTGTTGGTCGAGTCAGGAGTTTGGAGGAGATTCAAGTTGAAGGACGGCTGAGGTGTTTTGAATTGTTTGCAGAGAGGACTTAACTTAAACTACAGTAACTTAAACTACAGTATTTACAATATGTACAAATTTAAACTTGGAGTTAAAACAACAATATTCACAGGTAGAGAGTAAAGACTTTCATGTCCTCACTCTCTGTCTAGTTGAAGTCTGTGGCTGTGGTTCATAGAATATGTCCACGTTGTAGAGGGGTGGATAAACTCCAACCCCATAGTTAATATTTACATGGACAAGTCTGTCCTCGTCTACAGTTTCAGTGAACTGTAGACGATTCAATTGTTCCCACAACTTCTGCTTGATATGACGTCCCAGTGCAAGGCTGTAGGGACGCTGACGGCCATTCTTGTACCTCTGGACAGGAGAGGATAGTAGTTTAAATCAAAATGTTAGGTCAAGTGTTACTGTACTTATCATGGTCTGCTATAGGGGTGGATTCTTGTTTTTCATTTCATACATACCGGAGCATGTCACCTACCACGGCATGATAGAGCTGCTAGTACTCTTCTACTGACCGATGGTGTATTATCAGTAAACCGTCATCCAGCAGCGGAGTTGTGGGGGGCATGAAGGGGTGAACCACAGTGGAGACTTTAGGCAGCTCAAAAGGTGGAATTGTTGACTGAGGCCTCAGGACCAAAAGAGGATCAGAAACCTGAGAGTGGGAATGCTGAGGAGCAGGATCGTGGGTCAGCCCTGCAGAATCATTAGTATGGACCACAGAGGTCCTCATCTAAGTGCATAAAGCAAGCGAGATACTATGAGGATTTAGTATGTTGCACATGATCACAACAGTTTTGAACACTTAAACTCTCCTATGTTCATGTAGCTTTACACTAAATGGTAGCTACTTCGCATCTATATCCCAGCTCGGAGTTTTAAATATATCAACAAGTAAATTGTAGGCTACAATGCACTAAAATGCTAACTTCGACTTTATCACACCCATGCCGGCACACAGCGGAGAGATAGGCCTATTGTTACGAAGTTCAAATCTTACATTTTCCATGGCGAAAGTTGGTGGTGTATCTTTCAGGACATTTTGGGATGCTTTATTTCTGATCAGTGTGGATGAAATCCGCAGTTGAAGAGATTTTGCTGGAAACACAGCGTGAAGAAATGTGAAAAACCTTTCTTGACCGATCTAGATGGGTTTTTTTATGTGCTTTCACAATGAGCCAACACTAATGCATACATATTACCAAGGCTTAAAATTGCACTTTGTGCATGCTGAAAAATCGTTGCATAGGTTCGAAACACATCAAATGTATGGCCCAATAATAAAAAAAGGGGGAGAGTGGGGACTTAAAGCTGCAGAGGCAAAATCCACAGCAAGTTAAAATGACTGGCGTAAATGTTACCACCCAAAAAGTCAGCCCAGTGGAGTAAAATGAGGTTCTTGCCAAGCAGACTTTATTTAATTGCTTTAAATAAATATAACTTTAAACTTGGATGTCATTAGGTAAATGCTATTTTATATCCTCACAACTGTTATGTTTTATGGAAAGTAAAATTTACTTGATATTAGAAAGTGAGAGTTACTTGATATTGCAGCATTAAATTTTACTTAAATCATTTGCGTGCAAATACTTACAGTATGTTTTTTAAACCTTCACTGAAGAAGACAAAAACACCCTTGTATAAAAACTGCAAAAATTATTGAGCATTTTTATGTTGACAAATAGGACTTTTTAAAACGCATATTACAAATGTAGACTACAAACTTGTAGTCTAGTCTGAACATGCATATCTGGCTATATCTGACACAAACACCGCAAGAACTTAGATTTTAGTAAGTGTGCTTGTTTTATTTATGGTAGAAAAAAAGTGTCTTTAGTTTACAAGGAACACAGTCACAGACTTCAGACATGAACTCTGATCATATCTGCCCAAACGTCAACACTCAACCTGAGCATCACACCAGCATGAATGTTTTATCTGCATGTTTAAAATGATTATTGAGACAAACAGCTACACTGATTATACATCAAATCCATCTTGTTAACATGGTTTGTGCTTGGGAAGTCCCGTTTGAGACTTGGACACTGAAGCTACAAACTGACTTGACTCAGATTAGAGCTTCAAACATCTGAGACTTGATTGGGACTCTATGAGGCTTGAAAATATGAGGTTTTTTGTTAATTCGGTCCACTAGTGGGCTGATAAGAATCTGTTGCCATGAAAGCGCATGAAACTATCCATTTGTAGCAGGATGAAGCACTTTTAAATCATTTTTGATTCAATAGTTAATAATGAATTGATTTATTATATAGGGTGGATTTGTTTGTTTCTTTTGTAGGATGGGTAATAATTGAGATTGTGTTTATCTCATGTAAGCATTGGGGTCTTGTCTCATCAAGTCTGGGTCTAACTTGCATAACCACCCTTCACTGTAGCATGGCTGGGCCATCCTGTTGCGTGAATCACTTGACATTCCTTCCCACAACAGTCTGGACTTCGGCCCATAGAGAGCGTGTATTCCCGATCAGAAAATAACCGGGCCAATCAGAGACCGTGTTTCCACTGTTACCCGGACAACAGGGAAAGGCAGCCCCTGATTGGTCCATGTACTACTGTAACCAATCACCGTAACCAAGCATCTGTGATGATGTCAGATGCTTGGTTACGGTGATTGGTTACAGTAGTCTGTCTATCAAGGAAAGTACTCCCGTCCACTTTCAGGGCTTCCAATGGGCCGAAGTCCAGACTGTTGTGGGAAGGAACGTCAAGTGATTCACGCAACAGGATGGCCCAGCCAGGCTACCTTCACTGGGCCATAAGTTATCACTCAAAAGTGTGTTTTTCATCAAAACGTGATGATATTTTTAAAAGATGTTGTTGTTATTTTAAATTCAAATCAGATGGAACATTTCCATGGAAACCTCTAGAGTAACAAAAACGCACCTTAATACTGTAGAAGATCATTGCGAGGCAAGCACTTGACCGAGCAGCATCTCATCGCGTCATCAGAGCAGAATATCGATTTGACAACAGCAAGTATACGAATTAACCTTTGCCAAACCTCTGAAACTATCACACAGTTTCAAGTTTGTGAATTTCCTGAGAAGATCTTTTTTCCTGTCAACGAAGTTTGTTTAAGATCTTTTACTGTTTAATTTTCATCATCTCTGTGCTGCCATGGACAGAAGATTTCCTGTTTTTTTTCTGAGTGCTGTCCAGCTGCAGCAACCTCAGAACCAGTTCTCTGACTCTTATATTATACAGCGTTTGCGAGAAACTCTCTTTACCACAATTAATGAAGTGAAGCTCCTCAAAGAGGAAAATAAAGCGCTGAAGGACTCCATCCATCAACAGGGAGAATCCGAAAGGCCGAATGTGACCCAGCTCCAGAAGGAGGTGAAGCTAAAAGATGATCTTCTCCTGAAAGCTGCTCAAAAAGAGCAGGAGATGACCAGGGCCTACATAATCACCTCAGACCTGCTGGCTCTAAAAGAGGAGGAGGTTAAAAGCCTAAAAGAGGAGCTACACCTCAAAGACAGCCTCCTGGAAAGTGTTGTGAAGAAGGACGCTCTAGCCTCAAAAGAGATGGAGATTAAGAGTCTCAGATATAATCTCAGAAGGGAGCTAGCGTGCAAGGAAGACCTCCGGGCTGAGATGAAGGAGAAGGTCCATGAAAACCAAGCCAATGAAAAGCTGGAGGTGAGCAGGCTACAAGAGGAGCTTAAGTCAACAAAAGAGCTCCTGGGTAGGGCCATCAAACAACGACGCAAGAGAACTAAGGCCTACCTAGATACTATGGACCTGCTCAACAAGAGGAGCTTGGAGCTGAAGAGGACCGAGGAGCACTGGAGACTTAAGTGCAATGAGCTGCAGAAGAGTCTCGATGAGCAGACCAGCAACCTGCAGGTACTTCAGAGCTCAGATATATGACAGTAGCTATAGATCCAAATAATCTCAGATTCTGTAGAAAAGAACTTCAACTTTTACTGAATGATCTAACACACAGTTTCTTTCTCAGCTCTCTTCTCAGATACTCGTCCTCGATAAAACAGCTAAACACCAGCTGGACCTCTCAGAGGAGGGAGAACAAGAAGAGGAGATGGAGAAGAAAGAGGAGAAAAGAGAGGAGGAGGAGAATAAACAAGAGGAGGAGAAGGAGAAGAAGGAGGAGAAAAAAGAGGAGGAGGAGGCAAAACAAGAGGAGAAGGAGGAGAAAAAAGAGGAGGAGACAAAACAAGAAGAGGAGATGGAGAAGAAAGAGGAGAATAAACAAGAGGAGGAGAAGGAGAAGAAGGAGGAGAAAAAAGAGGAGGAGGAGGCAAAACAAGAGGAGGAGCAGGAGAAGAGTAAACAAGAGAAGGAGGTGAAGAACATGTTAAATGAAGAGAAGGAGAGAGAGAGAAAAGAGGAGGAGAAAGAGAAAAAGAAAGAGGAGCAGGAGGAGAAGAAGTCCCCTGAAGAGAAGGGGTCAAAAAAGGATGAGGAGGAGAAATTGAGTGAAGGAGAGAAAATGAACAAAGAAAAACACGACAAGAAGAAGAAGAGGAAGAGAAGGGGACAGAAAAAACGATAATTGTCCTTGTACCGTGCAACCCCCTTAACCCCCTTCCCTCCATCCTTTAACTCTACTATACCTTCCTACCTACCTACCCTCCTATCCACCTTCCTACCCACCTACCTTCCTATCCACCCATCCTGCTACCCACCTTCCTATCCACCTACCCTCCTACCCACCTTCTTACCACCTACCTTCCTACCCACCTTCATACCCACCTACCCTCCTACCCATCTTCCTACCCACCCACCTTCATACCCTCCTATCCACCTTCATACCCTCCTTTCCACCTTCTTTCCTTCCCTTCTACCCTTACTCTTTCTGTGTTCTGTTGTAAATATGTAAATAGCATCAATAAAGTTCTGAGGAACTTAATCACTGGTTTCCATGGTTATAAATCTGATCCTTACACACTTGGTAACACTTTAGTCTCATAAATCTTTGAAGTCAAAGATATAAAAAATGTTCACAGCTCCAGACAATCATTGTGGTCAGTTTGAAAAAAAAAATCCAACACTTTTCCACTTTTTTGATGACTTTTTGATTCTGAAGAACCAACTCCACTCATTTACATGGTACAGGTCAACCTTTGTGAGTTTTTCTACCAACTCATGCAAATTAAAAAGTTTTTGTTATGCAGAGTCAGACAAGTTTAGGGTGAATACTGAATGAGCTCTAAGTAAGGTTAAAAAACATTAAAATGCAGTAAAAATGTGGTGAAAATAAATAAAATTAATAAATAATTGATTGTTCATAGTGATCACAAGATGATTTCAGGTCAAAATGTGAAAATTCAGATTCAAAAAGTCTAAAACTCTGTGAGTTAGAAATCAAGGTTTCTATTAAACCTTCGCTGAAGAAGACAAAATCACCCTTGTATAAAAACTGCACAAATTATTGAGTATTTTTATGTTGACAAATAGGACTTTTTAAAATGCATATTACAAATGTAGACTGCAAACTTGTAGTCTAGTCTGAACATGCATATCTGGCTGACACACACACCGCAAGAACTTAGATTTTAGTAAGTGTGCTTGTTTTATTTATGGTAGAAAAAAGGTCTTTTTTAAGTCATCACACACCAAAATAAGAATGAATAAGAATCAATCAAAGAGAGGTTTTATGGTTTACTTTTCTCTAAATAAGAGTGTCCTTGAAATCAAGAAATTTCTTACCTTTTAAGGGTTTAGCAAGGAGTGGCCCATCTCCATACAGAGGAGTCCCCTCCCTCCCTGAAGTTTTATTATACACCTTAAAATCCTAAACTGTGATCAGCTATTTGTCTTATCATAGATGGGACTTCTATCCAATTATTTGGGTTATTTGCTGTGACCGAAAACACTGTGTGTTTCTTTCTTTGCTATCAAGTGTAACATGTTTTCATCTGTGGCTCTGAACGGTTATGATGCTCAGTTTGTCAAGTTTTAGTAATAATGATAATAACTTTATCTGTATAGCACTTTTAACAAAACAGATGTTTACAAAGTGCTTTGACATGTAGTCGTAGAGCAAATGGAAAAAGACAGATAAAAACAAAAAGCTCAGTGAAAAATTCATGAACATAGCCTGTCAGAGCACAAAGTCAGGAGCTACAGTCAGTAAGATGGAGAGAAAAGCCACCAAAACTCTGGCTATTGTTTTGGGAGTTTTCCTCTTATGTTGGACTCCGTTCTCTCTCTGCATCACCTTTCCTTCTTTAGGCAACGCAGCTCCAGTTCCTGTTATTAAGACCCTGAACTGGCTGACACTTTCAAACTCTATGCTGAATCCGTTCATATATGCTTTCTTTTACAGCTGGTTCAGGTCGGCTTTCAGGATGATCGTTTCTGGGAAGATATTGAGAGGGGATTTAATTAAGACAAAATTACAAAACTAGGCTGAATGTTTCTGTATGAAAATTTAGTAAAACACTGTTTGTGATCTGAATGAGTAAATCAACACACTTCACCTGAGATCAGAACTGAAAAAGAAATATCTGTCGATGTTTTTATACACTGCAAAAACAGGAATTTTTTGTGGTTTTGTCCTCTCTTCAGAAGAGAGTCTATTTTGCAAAATTAAATTCACATTCATCTGATAAGTCCAGAAAATATGCTGAATTGCCTGTACTGATTAAAAAATAATAATATCTGGTAAATGTGGCAAAAAACATACTAAGAATAAGACAGAAAAACTAACTGAGATTAGATTTTCTTTTACAGAATAGTAAAGATTTTGAGCTCAACTCCCCCTTTTAATTCCAGGAATCAAAAGTTTACATTGAGAGAGTTAAAATTCATAATATGTGAGTGTCAGAAGAATATTGCCCCTGGCATAGTGGACTGACAAACAAGGATTTTTTTGGTAGAGAGTTTTTATTTTTGGCTCCGAGTAGAAACTTACTGACAATGTGTCAACACTAATGTTTTTTTCTGAGAGATAGATAAAAAAAGCTCAATGCTTCTCAACAATAAGGACTTTTGATATCGTTTGCATCACAACCAACACGACACTGGTAAGAATTAGGCTACCTTCACATATCAGATGTGATGTACAATTTGGATTTTTTGTTAAATCTGATTTTTCTGTGCGGTCGTTTACATTACAACAACAAATGCAGCCTCTAATGTGAACAGAATGTGTCCATGAAGTGACCTGCATGTGCACAAAGCACGAATTGCTTTCCGCGCCTGTTTGTGTTGTTGAACAATGGTGACGTTTGTCGCATATTGATGACGAATAGGTCGGATGAACGCGACCTGAGCGTCCACACTGCAGTCACATCGGATAAATCTGATTTATATCCACATACAAAAGAGGCCTGGGTCGGATTTGACAAAAAATCAGAATTGCACTGTTCACACTTACATGAAATTCAGACATGTGTCACATATGGTTTAAAAAAAAAAATCTGAATTGACCTGCAGTGTGAACATAGTCTTACTTGACATTGTTTATGTGAACTTCATTTTACATCTGATAGTGCTCCACTTGTAACTGTTTCTGTGTGTTGCTGTCTCACGCAGGACAATAACAATGAATTCAGTTTTTCTCGCTTTTCATTTTTAATAAAAGCTCTTAAGTAAATCTTGTGAGTTATTTCTTTCAGTGTAGACTGTTCTCGCCAAGACAAATCATTTGAATTTGCCACAAATGTTTCAGGGTTTTTATTTTCAGGAAAACATTCAAAAGGCAAAGTTAAGTGGTTAGTTATTTCTTTTCAGCGCAAAGCTAAGCCGCCACATCTTCAACAATAAAACACTATTTTGTTTCTCTTCAGTGCTCTTTAACAAGTTGGCCATGAAAACCCTTCTCTCATCCAAGCCTCCAGATAAAAGTGCAGATTGCATTAAAGGCTTGTAGTTTACAAACCGTCCCTCCAACATTTATTCAAGAATCAAATTAAGGGTTCCAGCAATTCCTGAAATTTGATTTAGAGCTTTGTGTTTACCTAATCTCTGGCATTCACACAGACACCAGTGGAAATGTCCAAATGCGTCACTGCACAACTTTAAAGGCCTTCCCCGTGTATAGTAGTGTAGTGACCCATTCTAAATAACCTATATCATTGGGGAACTGAGCTTTATAAAGGAGTCCATTGGGACCTGTGCTGAAAGGGTTTTTTTTTGGTGGAAGCCTGGATGAAAAGTGCAAAGAGAAGGATAAAGGAGAAGTATAGGAGATGTCAGGACGCCTTTGGGAGGAAAACAAACTGCAGAGACCAATGTGAGTTGACTTAATCTGATTAGACTAACCTCATCAACAGCCCACTTAAAAGGGAGAAGAAAGGCCTGAATTGGGGCGAGAAGCAAGAGAAAAGGGGTCTCTCTCTGTTCAGAAAGCCAAAGAGGCTCCGTGAATGCACCACATTGTACTGGACATGCTGGTCTGCAGATGGCAAAATGACAACAAGGCGCTTGAAAAGTGAGGCAAATATAATTGATCTCAGGGTGTTTTTTTCCATTGCAGGTATGAAAACAGGCAAGGGAGTAATGAGATTAAGAGAGAATAAAGTTAGAGTCCATGAAAAAATTCCATTTTTCTCTCACGTTTGTGGTGCAAACATACAGCTTTGAAGCCTTTGACTGAATGCACCCACCCTCGTAATACCATGAGAAATATTTCCAAATTCATATTAATTTATTCAGATTGTGGCCTCTCGTAAAGCACCCTGCAGCCCTGGTAATACATCAAACGAGATAGATGGAGAGGAAAATAGCTGTTTTAATACCAGCACAATTGATGGGTGTTAAATAATGCGCTAATACATCTGGCCACTCCCAAATGTCAGAAATCCCTGACAACAATACACATGAAATATCTGATCCTAGCAGGAGAAAATCCCTTTAGATCTTATGCCAATCTTTGTGAGAAAAAAAACACACATATTTCTACA